ATGTTATAACAAAGCCACATCATGTAATAACAGAACCACATCATGTTATAACAGAACCACATCATCTAATAACAGAACCACATCTTATAATAACAGAGTCACATCTTGTAATAACAGAACAACATCATGTTATAACAGAGCCACATCATGTAATAACAGAACCACATCATGTTATAACAGAGCCACATCATGTAATAACAGAGCCATGTCATGTAATAGCAGAGCCATGTCATGTAATAACAGAACCACATCTTATAATAACAGAACCACGTCATGTTATAACAGAACCACATCATGTAATAACAGAACCACATCATGTAATAACAGAACCATGTCATGTAATAACAGAGCCATGTCATGTAATAAACAGAACAACATCATGTAATAACAGAGCCATGTCATGTAATAGCAGAACCACATCAGATGATAACAGAACCACACCATGTAATAACAGAACCACATCATGTAATAACAGAACCTCATCAGATAATAACAGAGCCATGTCATGTAATAACAGAACCACATCATGTAATAACAGAACCACATCAGATAATAATAGAACCACATCAGATAATAACAGAGCCACATCATGTAATAACAGAGCCATGTCATGTAATAGCAGAGCCATGTCATGTAATAACAGAACCACATCATGTTATAACAGAACCACATCATGTAATAACAGAACCACATCATTTTATAACAGAGCCACATCGTGTAATAACAGAACCACATCAGATAATAACAGAACCACATCATGTAATATCAGAGCCACATCATGTAATAACAGAGCCACATCATGTAATTAGAGCCATGTCATGTAATAACAGAGCCATGTCATGTAATAGCAGAGCCATGTCATGTAATAACAGAACCACATCTTATAATAACAGAACCACATCATGTAATAACAGAACCACATCAGATAATAATAGAACCACATCAGATAATAACAGAGCCACATCATGTAATAACAGAGCCATGTCATGTAATAGCAGAGCCATGTCATGTAATAACAGAACCACATCATTTTATAACAGAGCCACATCGTGTAATAACAGAACCACATCAGATAATAACAGAACCACATCATGTAATATCAGAGCCACATCATGTAATAACAGAGCCACATCCTGTAATTAGAGCCATGTCATGTAATAACAGAGCCATGTCATGTAATAGCAGACCCATGTCATGTAATAACAGAACCACATCTTATAATAACAGAACCACATCATGTTATAACAGAACCACATCATGTTATAACAGAACCACATCATGTAATAGCAGAGCCATGTCATGTAATAACAGAACCACATCATGTAATAACAGAACCTCATCAGATAATAACAGAACCATGTCATGTAATAACAGAATTACATCATGTAATAACAAAGCCACATTATGTTATAACAGAACCACATCATTTAATAACAGAACCACATCATTTAATAACAAAACCACATCATGTTATAACAGACCCACATCGTGTAATAATAGAAACACATCAGATAATAACAGAACCACATCATGTCATAACAGAGCCACATCATGTTATTACAGAGCCATGTCATGTAATAACAGAGCCATGTCATGTAATAGCAGAGCCATGTCATGTAATAACAGAACCACATCATGTAATAACAGAGCCACATCATGTTATTACAGAGCCATGTCATGTAATAACAGAGCCATGTCATGTAAAAGCAGAGCCATGTCATGTAATAACAGAACCACATCATGTAATAACAGAACCACATCATGTAATAACAGAACCACATCATGTAACAACAGAGCCACATCATGTAATAACAGAGCCACATCATGTAATAACAGAACCACATCAGATAATAACAGAGCCATGTCATGTAATAACAGAACCATATCTTATAATAACAGAGCTGCATCAGATAATAAGAAAGCAACAGCTTATAATTACATTTAAACACGTAAGACAGCTATGGCGTTCCGTATCGCTGCATCAAAATGTGTGTCCAATCAGGAACTACATCGAAGTTTGCCTAGACAGGTGTCAGTAATATCCGCCTACTGTGTTGGCTGGTTATAACAAAAATATGTTCTATAATCTATCCAGTAAAAGTATGCTGTTACAGGTACAAGCAGAGCTTTGTTGTTTACAAATGAATCAACAAAGCGACACAGATAAAACTTGATACACTTGAAATATGCAAAGTAAAATCATGTGGACAGGCGCCATTTATAACACATATACACGGACCGCTTGAAGTTAAAAATACTGAACGGAAAGTAGATATCCGGCGGGAGGAGGGGTTTATATGTAACCGAGGTCACTATCTATTTCAATGCCTCCGCTACATTCGAACCCAGGACCTCTGCATGGCTTACTAGTTTTACGCTCAACCGATCCAGGTGAAGAGAAGGGCTAGTATTTATCAGTCACATACTCCCCCTCCAGTAAAGAACTTTTCCTCGAATTTCCAATGTAACAGAGGTTATCTCAATGTCTGTGCTAGTATTCGAACCCAGGACCTCTGGCCTACTAGTGTAACGCTCGACCGGTATTAGTCTCATTAGATTGAGTTCTCTAGACGAGCACTATGCACACGATATTGACTTGAGGAGCCACGCGAGAAAAATAGCCTTTATACGTAGGTACTTTATATCGAGGATCCGGGTTGTACTTAACTGGGGACCAATACCAGTGATCTTTAAAGACATGTGTTTGCTATATACAGATAACCTTTAAAGACATGTTTTTACATACGGGTGACCTTTATATATAGATGTATTTATATACATGTTACCTTTACAGGCAGGTATTTACTTTTTACATGTGACCTATTTAGACGTGTTTTATATACAGGCGACCTTTATAGACAGGTGTTTGGTATACACAGGTGACCTATATAGACATGTGTTATGTACAGGTTTGGTTTTGTGTCACAACCGCCATGATTTTTAGTAAACAAGCCAGTGAAACGAGCTATCTTTAAATACTTGTATTCTGTAAGCGTTACTGTGCATCTACCTGAAACAGGTAGATATACGTCCTTACAGGTAAGAAATCTTCACCATGATAAAGATACATACTTACAGTTTGAAGAATATGTCCTTTCACTTCCAAAGTATTGGTAAGACAGTGAAGTATATGTGTCTACACAACTCGGCAGGTGTAGAGTGTGATTGGAACACCTATATAGGGACGTAATAACTACCCGGGGTGTGGTTCACACGAGCACGCTATGCTTCATTGACAGTATGGAGAAAATACATTCATAGTCATTATGTTGTCAGAATGAAACATATACTGTAAAGGTCTGCCTATATACACATCAGACACTGTTGTACACGATATGTACATCTCTTGCTTTTGGACATGTTGGTCTTCTATTTTGCATAAGACGTTGTTACAAAATGGTTGAGACACCGGATCGGTGGAGGGGGAGAATGGAGTATTTATTTATGTAACGGGTTTTACGCCAGTTATTGCGGCCTTTCGGCTTTTCGGCCTTTCAGTGGACAATTTAGAATTGAAGACAACATTTTGTGTTGATTTAGTAGATGTAGCGTGTGTTAGAATATCACTAATTTTAAATTGATGAGTTATGAATTGACTCCTAAGCTAAAGGCTATCCGAGACTGCATTGTCTTATCATAATAGGTATTTCATTTCCTTACAAACATGTGTGAAGACAGTCAAATCGGTAATACTACTCCACATTCCATAAAGCTAGTTTGATTGATAATGTGCTGCTTCATCCATCTTTATCAAACACATACGAAATAATTCTTTATTTCTGGTCTTGAATAGCTATGTCATGAAAATCAACAATTTAGAACTAATTTATTTATCATAACACAATAAATCAATTTGTCTGCATGTATTTTAAAATTATGTCGCCAGGTGGACATAACTATAAACATAACAACATCTTCAGGTATTTTCATCTGGAATACAAACTTGTGAAACAAGAATTGGGTCTATGCTCCAGTGCGAGTTGTACGTTAAAAAATGTCGTAGATTTCTTTTAATAAAAACCATTGTTAAAAAGTGTATATGGTATGATTTAAGAGGGACAAAGGCGGTACGGGTAGAGACGGAGTTTATGGCCGTTACGATTCACCTCACTTGACTCCAAGTCTCATCTGAAACCTGTCATACTAAATTGAATGTAAATACTGGTTCTATACAATGTCGACAAAGATTATTTTAACAAACCAGTCTCGAGCCCTTCGGTATGTAGAGTGTTTGGCAAGAAATGCGTTCTATTATCATTGATACAAGACTGAAAGTTCACGGAATATTTGCATATTCATGAGTAGGCGTTAAGCTCTAGACTATAAAAGTTCAAAACAAAAAGTGCGAAAACCGTGACATGTGTACGGGGTACACCATAGCATAATGTAGTAGATCACGTCTGAATCGAGACTCATACACACACCCTCACTCACACACCCGCCCTCACTCATACACACACCCTCACTCACACACACGCCCTCACTCACACACCAGCATTCACTCATACACACACCCTCACTCACACACTCGCCCTCACTCACACAAACGCCCTCACTCACACACACGCCCTCACTCACACACACGCCCTCACTCACACACACACCCTCACTCATACACACACCCTCACTCACACACACACCCTCACTCATACACACACCCTCACTCATACACACACCCTCACTCACACAAACGCCCTTACTCACACACACACCCTCACTCACACACACACCCTCACTCATACACACGCCCTCACTCATACACACGCCCTCACTCACACACACGCCCTCACTCACACAAACGCCCTCACTCACACACACACCCTCACTCATACACACACCCTCACTCATACACACACCCTCACTCACACACACGCCCTCACTCACACACCCGCCCTCACTCATACACACACCCTCACTCACACACACGCCCTCACTCACACAAACGCCCTCACTCACACACACACCCTCACTCATACACACACCCTCACTCACACACACACCCTCACTCACACACAAGCCTTCACCCACACACCCGCCCTCACTCACACAATTGCCCTCACTCACACAAACGTCCTCACTCACACAATTGCTCTCACTCACACGCCCGCCCTCATTCACACACCCGCCCTCACTTACACACACGCCCTCACTCACACAAACGTCCTCACTCACACAAACGTCCTCACTCACACAATTGCTCTCACTCACGCACACGCCCTCACTCATACACACGCCCTCACTCACACAATTGCCCTCACTCACACAATTGCCCTCACTCACACACACACCCTCACTCATACACACGCCCTCACTCACACAATTGCCCTCACTCACACACCCGCCCTCACTCACACACGCCCTCACTCATACACACGCCCTCACTCACACAATTGACCTCACTCACACAATTGCCCTCACTCACACAATTGCCCTCACTCACACACACGCCCTCACTCATACACACGCCCCCACTCACACAATTGCCCTCACTCACACACCCGCCCTCACTCACACACACGCCCTCACTCATACACACGCCCGCCCTCACTCACACACAACGCCTTCACACACACGCCCGCCCTCACTCACACACCCGCCCTCACTCACACACCCGCCCTCACTCACACACACGCCCGCCCGCCCTCACTCACACACCCGCCCTCACTCACACACCCGCCCTCACTCACACACACGCCCGCCCTCACTCACACGCCCGCCCTCACTCACACACACGCCCGCCCTCACTCACACGCCCGCCCTCACTCACACACCCGCCCTCACTCACACACACGCCCGCCCTCACTCACACACAATCATTCTCTTATATATAGTGTCTCTTATACAAGATCTGAGAAAACGTCCCTGATCACAGTCGTCTAAGAAACAAGAGCTCCCAGAATGATGGCGTCCATTACTAAATTATCTATTTAGGTTCTATGCAAGACTGGTCATCTCTCTATTTTTTCTATTCCCTCTACTTTCCTCCTGATCACTTGATAGCAAGTTAATCCTACATATGAAATAATTTTGTTTCACTGACAAGTCACAGAAATATCAAGAATTATGAAAACAGGGGAACAAATGAAAGATTTACAAGGAGACCACTGAAAAAGTACAGAGATGACAATACCTGGTGTTCTGAAAAGGTAAGCGTCTTCAGCCTCATCGTCATTCAATGACACCAACCATGTAAACATATGTCAATCAAAGGAAGTAATGTCAAATTCTTCAGAGAAACATGACACACGGCACCAGGTAAACTACCATGCACCACCCACGTTCAACTACATATTGCGCAAGGAATTCAAGTAGTGCTCAATGAGATTGTGATGAAGACCAAACAACATCCTTATATTTTTAATCAAATTCGATCACTTGCAACATTTTTATGAAACTGAAGAACTTCACTAAGCCGTTCTCTCCGTATAAATACATTCAGTTCATTGGTATAACAGAAGAGTTGTAATATATTGGACTCTGATAACAGGAGCGGTATGATATCGGGCTCTGATAACAGAAGTGGTATGATATTGGGCTATGATAACAAAAGTGGTATGATATTGGGCTATGATAACAAAAGTGGTATGATATTGGGCTATGATAACAAAAGTGGTATGATATTGGACTCTGATAACAGAAATGGTATGATATTGGGCTCTGATAACAGAAACGGTATGATATTGGACTCTGATAACAGGAGCGGTATGATATTGGACTCTGATAACAAAAGTGGTATGATATTGGACTCTGATAACAAAAGTGGTATGATATTGGACTCTGATAACAGAAGCGGTATGATATTGGGCTCTGATAACAGAAGCGGTATGATATTGGGCTCTGATAACAAAAGTGGTGTGATATTGGGCTATGATAACAAAAGTGGTATGATATTGGGCTATGATAACAAAAGTGGTATGATATTGGGCTCTGATAACAGAAATGGTATGATATTGGGCTCTGATAACAGAAACGGTATGATATTGGACTCTGATAACAGGAGCGGTATGATATTGGACTCTGATAACAGAAACGGTATGATATTGGACTCTGATAACAGGAGCGGTATGATATTGGACTCTGATAACAAAAGTGGTATGATAATGGGCTATGATAACAAAAGTGGTATGATATTGGGCTCTGATAACAGAAGCGGTATGATATTGGGCTCTGATAACAGAAACGGTATGATATTGGACTCTGATAACAGAAGTGGTATGATATTGGACTCTGATAACAGAAGTGGTGTTATAATGGACTCTGATAACAGGAGCGGTATGATATTGGGCTCTGAAAACAGAAGTGATAAGATATTCGGCTCTGATAACAGAAGTGGTATGATATTGGACTCTGATAACAGGAGCGGTATGATAATGGGCTCTGATAACAAAAGTGGTTATGATATTCGGCTCTGATAACAGAAGCGGTATGATATCGGGCTCTGATAACAGGAGCGGTATGATATCGGGCTCTGATAACAGGAGCGGTATGATATTGGGCTATGATAACAGAGTGGTATGATATTGGGCTCTGATAACAGGAGCGGTATGATATTGGGCTCTGATAACAAAAGTGGTATGATATTCGGCTCTGATAACAAAGCGGTATGATATCGGGCTCTGATAACAGGAGCGGTATGATATCGGGCTCTGATAACAGGAGCGGTATGATATTGGGCTATGATAACAGAGTGGTATGATATTGGGCTCTGATAACAGGAGCGGTATGATATTGGGCTCTGATAACAAAAGTGGTATGATATTCGGCTCTGATAACAGAAGCGGTATGATATTGGACTCTGATAACAGAAGCGGTATGATATTGGACTCTGATAACAGAAATGGTATGATATTGGCTCTGATAACAGAAGTGGTATGATATTGGGCTCTGATAACAAAAGTGGTATGATATTGGACTCTGATAACAGAAGCGGTATGATATTGGCTCTGATAACAGAAGTGGTATGATATTGGGCTCTGATAACAAAAGTGGTATGATATTGGACTCTGATAACAGGAGTGGTATGATATTGGGCTCTGATAAGCTATGAGGTGGTGTAATATCGGGCTGTGATATCAACTGCGGTATGTCATTTCTCTTTGGCAATGAAGTTATTCTATCTCGGGCTCTTATTACAAGTGGAATAGTGTTCGCCCTTTATAGCGAAAAAAGTGTTATATCTGGTGCTGATACCAGTAGTGGAAGGATATATGGCTCTAAGTGAAGGATGCGTGTGTGTACGTGTGTGATGGCGTATGCAAAGTTTTATTATCCTACCTTTAATGCAAGCAAAGTTTTGATCTGGACAAGATATTTTAACAAAGTGCAATAACTCTGTGATTGAAGGATCGAAGGACCTGAATTTGGTACACAGTACACTGTCGTAGTATGACCAATGTACACATTTGGTTTCATGATCCTTGTTTAACTTAGGACAAATTTATCCTTCGGACAAGATTGAGGGGGAAAGGGCACTGAATTTGTTGCACTGCACATTGTGTTGGTATGATCAATATCTCTACCAAGTCTCATTATCCTAGTTTAAATGCAAGCAAAGTTATGTTCCGGACACGAAAACAACTCATGAAAATCGTGGTTATAATTGTAGTTTTAAAATATTACAGAAATTCTATATCTGAAAGAGCATTGGTCACATAAAAAAATTGATATTCTTTATGGACTGAATATGCGTTGAAATACTGGTTTACCTGTAATAACATTCCACATAACTAGTTAAAACGACAGAACATTATCTAATCTGACAAGAAAATAGAAAACCGGTACGCGACGAAGACCGGGCATTGAGTTACATATTAGTGAGGTCACGGATGGCTTATCTCGCCAGTTGTAAACACTTTTTCTATTCACTTCGGGCCTTCAAAATGATGTATGTTACAGAACACGTGATATTGTGCACACGAACTGGTTAAGTGCCGTGGAGGGTTTTTGTGTTTGTGTGTCTACCTTTTCCTGTGTTAACAGCTCTGACCTCTCGAATTTTAATTTTAGTATGAATTCCGTCTTACACCTGTTTAGTCTACTTTATTCCTTTGATGAAACACCCTCCACACCACGGAAACATCCCGTATTCCTTGAAACACCCTCCACACCACGGAAACATCCCGTATTCCATGAAACACCCTCCACACCACGGAAACATCCCGTATTCCATGAAACACCATCCCTGTTGCCTCGACCATTTTCCCTTGTACAACAGGCTATACTTAAACCTGTATACAACATCTTATCCCTAAAACACCACCCACAACGCGACGACAATGTTTCTGTATTCATCTTATCACTGAAAGACCACCCTCACCCCGTCAACTTTCACATTTCATTTTTTTTTCTATTTATATTCAGTCATGTTTTCATCCGAGATTTACTGCATCACTGTAGAGGGCGTTAACAATACAGACTTCACTTGTCTCTTATTGACGATCAGCCACAGTTAATTCGAGGACCTGACCACACAAAACAGGATCTGCGTGCCTCGTACAAAGTAATTGTAGACTTTTTGCTCGATATTAAAACCTTAAAAAATGTATGACGTACTGAATTTAACCCGACTCGTCCTAAACGTGATTAACCTTACAATGAGGAAACCAACAGCTGATATCGTTTACCACGGGTCCCTTCATCAGAAACACGTTGTTGAATCGTAGTTTAGTTTAAGCTTTATTTATTATCATGTATTGCAGTAGTACATTTACAAATATGATAGGATTCAGAGACAAGTACATAGTACTTATGTAAACCCGTCTACTTATATTCCTAGCGCAACATAGGAACAATACTGACAATAGTTCATGTATACGGTATAGACTGCATGTATAGAAAACGGGAAGAGAGAAAGGGTGCAAGGGTTTGGACTAAGATGATACGGAGAGTCCACTGTATTTCTGGGACATGGACACGGTACTGGAAATATTTCATGTGTCGTGTGCAGTGGAAAAAGTTTTAGGGTGTTAATTTAACATGATAAATAAACTTTCAACTTTACAGCATAATGTGATCAGATATTGACAAATTAGGAACGAGTTGATTTCACCAGACCTAGAAGCCGAGTGGCAGATACATCAATGAACGTTGTGTGGAAGGTTCGTCGTTTGATATCCAAAACATGTAATCTGGTCATCTCCCTTAGTTCTCTACTCTCCGTCAAGGCTTTGCTTCAGCTCAAAGTTTGTTTGAGTCAGATATGGAGATGTAAGTGATATTCTGTCTTGCCGGATATATGAGTCGACAGGCGTATGACTAAAACCAATCACACCCTGCGTTAACAAGGAAGATCAGCATTT